TGCAACACTGGACACACTTAGCTTGACAGAGCATATCACAACATGTTTAAAAAAAAAGTAATAATCCCAATATATCGTATTGTGAGTCAAGTATTGTGATGATATTGTATTGTGGGGTGTCTGGTGATTCCCACCTCTACTTTTAACAGTTTTACTGAGTATTTTAACAGATAAAAGGGAAACAGAATTTTCACTTCCGTCTTGTTTAGCTTTCGAGATCAAGGATTTCCCTGGTAGTTAAACCAGAGTAGGAACTTTACTTTCAGACAAACTGACAACTTCCACAGGCTCCCCTCAGGACTGTGTTTTCTCTCTTGTGTTGTTTATTCGGTACACCAATTCCTGCACAAACACTACTACCACTTCAGTGAATCTCTTACATGATGGAAAGGAACAGCAGGGACCAGATCCGGACCATTTCATTAAATGCTGTGAGGTCAGGCCTTGTTCTCAACGCAGCAAAGATTTCAGGGGGCAACAATCATCCCAGCACACTATCACCAAACAGCTGATCCAGTCTGTTACTGAATATCAGTACCTTGGGGTTATTCTTGACCACATGTAAAGAACTTTTCAAGGAAACTTGTATCTTTCAAAGCGGGCTCTAAAATGCTCCACATGTTCTACTGTGCTTTTACTGAAAGTGTTCTGACTTTCTTAATCTTTTGTTGGTTTGGAAATCCCTCTGAGGAACACTAAAAATCTGCAAGAAAGACAGTAACAGCATGAAGTGAATTGCATTACAGAGTTAGGAACGCATTCATAGTTATGGTGTTAGATGTTAGGCAAATACTGTTGTGGGTGACGAGAGGCATCCATTTGCCTCTTCTTTTAAAGTGAAACCATCTGGGTGGCGCCGTTACCCCCTGTGCTTACAAAACACAGGCCAAACTGTAATTTATTCCTCACGGCACTTAATAGAGCATTTGTAGCAACAGATGTAGAGGGTACCAATAACAAGGTTGTTGGATCAATCCGCAGTTCATATTTTGAAATATACTGAACCCCAAGTTGTTCCCAATGCATCCATCAGGGTGTGTGTGAATGTTAAGAGTGCATAAAGTGTTTAGGTATAGATAAAAACAGGGTTTGGATGCATTTGATTGGGTGAATGAGGCTTGTAGCAGAAAGTGCTTTGAGTGCTCAAAGTGAGTGGAAAGACACTATACAAGTACCAGTCCATTTACCAGTTCAATTTTTAAACATGGGAAACGCATACGTTTCCCAGCTAGTTTGGACAAATCATCCTGTAAGGTCCAATGAAAGGGTCTTGATGTATTGTATGCTTTTATGCTGATGTGTTTGTTCTTTGTTGGTGTATGGAAATGCCACGTGGTTTCTGCAATCCAATTTTCTCATCATGACAAAGGTATTTATCCATCTAGGTCTCATGTGGTTAAAATGCATGTGCATATAGCCTGCATTAAGAGGTCATCATCAGGTTTTTTAATGAGATCACAGATAAACAAGAGGACCCATGTTAATTAAACAAATACAAAGGAAAAGTATTTTAAATGAAATCTCTGATGCTTTTTAGCAATTTATGGCCCAAACACAAAGCCAGTTGGTTTCCACTGTAATGCAGTAACTGCACACGATTAAGAGATAGAAAAACCCAACTATTTGCATGGCCAGAGTTCACAGATAAGCGTAAACAACAAATTGGTATACTGATTCTTTAAAGAGCAAGTAATGTGTGTATTTAGCTGCAGTTTAAGTAAAAGATTTTACTTACGCACCACCCTCAAAAAACTGCATATCAGAGACTTGTGGTTTCCCAAAGTAAAAACAAAAATACCCAGTATACAGGATAAGATTGGAATATGTCGATAGTACTAAAATGAGGACATAGTTTGAATCATTCCAAATTGCATTATCAAAGTGTCCATCTAATCGATCCAGCACCTATCTGGGGGAGAAAAGAGTTACACTTAGTGATGTAAATACATTATACTGTCTGTCATTTCACTGAGAAAAGAAAATCTAATGGTGCATCAGTGACACCCACGTTATGAATCCCAAGAATTTGCAAATGTCAATACACATTTGCGAGGTTTAACTACCATGAAGTAGTAGTAGAAGATTTAAGTTTGAGGATTCATTTTATGCTGTAGGTTAACTCCATATTTTGGTTCCTAATGTTCAGTTTAGTGGTCTGAAGCAGGATAACAGTTGAAACAAGTCCAAGAGGTTCCTGCAGCACACAGACCTCTGGCTCACTGAAGCGAGGAAGTGTCATTTATCTCAACCCTAATAAAGATATTTGAAAACAACATGTTTTCTACTACAAATAATACCCAGCCAGTAAACACTGACGGAGATTTGTCGGTAGGAGACTTAGTTCCGGTTTAAGGTACGTAATCACAACGAGAGAAGCCTACATGTCAAATGAATGAAAGCACGGAATTTAAAAGTCTTCCACTTAATCCCCGGGGTTGAACGGACCAATAACGCATTCAGTCTTGAAATGCTTCAAATCACATTAAAGCAGCCGTACGAGAGCGTTTAGTGTCAAAATAATGACACGCTGTATGCTGATTTTACTTAGCTGTCACCTGCGTGCTGACATGACGCCAAGTTAAGTTACCATTAGCAGAAGCATTACTAGCTTTGTACATAAATATGTAGAAAAATAATGCGATATGGCAGTACCATGAAAAGGCTAGGCTCCAAAAGCCAAACTGCGACCTAACTGGTTTCGGCGTGTCTGGCGAGTCAGACAGCTTCCATTTATTTCCAACGGGCTAGCTAACTGCAAGCTAGCAACTGCTAGCTAGCTAGCATGCCAGGCCTGCTGTGGACCTCCGGGCAGCAGTTACAAACTAGTACATAACACAATATGGGAGCCCGGTCCAAGTTTTCCCGAGTTCACCTGAATGAGTGTGATGACAACGAAAGCTCATGGGATTTGCATTTACCTGCTGGGATGTGAGCTCCACATGTAGGGCTCGAGAGGCTGAAGCTCCAGAGTTGGTGACAGAGGCGGCGGGGATAGCAAGAACCCGACCGGTGATGGAGTTCATCCTCCTGTCGGCATCTAGCAGCAGCCCCTCATTCAATAAAGCATCCCATCTCAGACATTCACGACACTTGGCTAAAAGTTGACGAAGTTCCGGAAAACTAACAAAGACATGCAGACACGAGTGTTTCTGTGAGGAAAGCGCTACAACAGCTGTCAGCTAACCAACAGGACGTAAACAAACTCTCGGCTATTTCGCTACGTTCGGAAATCGGTCTACGGAGAGGAGGCGCGGAACTTCAGTTGCTGATTGGCTCAAACCAATATCCGTCGCGTAAAGGCGGTGCCTGGTCGTGAAAATTCGCGTTTCTATTGGCGGTATCATCTGTTTGTCTCCCTGGAGGGGACGAGCATCCGTTGAATTCTGTCAAAGCTGCAAAATATGAGGAAGTTGTATGGTACAGCGTGACATGCAGGTGACAGTTTAAACGGTAGCACTGATCTCATAATCTCTACTGGTACAAAGACAGCCAGCGACCAAAGCATTTAAAATGTATATGCAAACTGAGATGAACTTTTTTCGCTAACTTTCAAATCACGGACAGTATAATACGAATACACAACTAGAGACAGGAACTAACTGCAGAATACGCGGGTAGCTTAGGCAATGTAAAACTTAAACACACACATATTTAACATATTAGCAAATTAGTCGATGTTATATTTGTTAGGCCTCTCTTAACGTTGCATGGTCTTGTGTTTTGCGTGTAAGTCAGTAGTGTAAAGTTGAAATTCATCTTTAAGTACGATGACTTGTAAATCCACCACCTACATGTGAGCAGCACAGTCAGTTATTTCAGCTTCATTCACACTGACTGCAGAACATTAAGCAACCACTAGGGGGCTGTATCAGCCACATTAAATAGTTGCGCTTCTACAGAGCCAGGAGACTGAAGGCTGCAGTCAGATAACGACCAAAAGTAGCTCCTATCTATCCACGTTGTCACCTTGACAAAAAAGCGTTAAAATGTAAAAGAACTTAGGGAAAATAAAAATGGACGTTCTCGATGGACTAGTCATACACTTGATGTGTTCTTATTGGGGTTTTTTAATAATGTTGAAGATGTTTTAATAAAGTCATATAAAAGAGAACCAGTAGCAAATAATAATAATAATTAACAAGGTTGTAATTCAGATAAATAGGAATACAAGGCATATAAAGTGAAATAATTGCATTTTGCACTGAGATGTGTTGCTCCTGTCATATTTTTTTTCCAGCTGATAAAAGGAGCCAGAGTACTTCCTCTTTTTATTAAGGCTTTCTGAGACTAAAGTCAAATTAACTAATGACCACACTAAAAAAAGGTCATAAGAACAAGTATAACTAACAGAAACTGAATAATGGAAAACCTTAAATGAACTTTGCGCACAGGCTTTATTCCTCAAACATTTTCAGTTTCACTTCTGAAAACAAGGCAACGACTCCATAAGCAGTAGATACAATGTTTATCATTCCGTTGTAGGTTTAACAATTTCAAAACATGACATACACAAGAGTGTATATGGTTAGTGCATAAAATGGAAAACATACAATTAACATTTACACGGTCACTTTTCATGTTGATTGTTTTTAAATGGGGTGGAATAATCCTCAAAAATATTCAGTTCAGTTTTATTTGCATAGCACCAGCAGATGTGGAAGCTAAAGTTTAAAATGGTCCCAGTGGTAATTAGCAGCAGTAGGAGCTGTAACCCTGAAATTGGAAGAGTGGCTCCAGAAAACTCCAGGTATAACATCAGAGGTGTCGGTCCAGAGGAACAGACAAAGTACGGCACAGAGCCCTGAACTCCCAGGTCTCTGGTAGAGAACGCGAGCTTGAGGATCACATCTATATCACCTGCAGGGAGGGATGAAAGGGAGGTTTTTTCCCCCCATAGAGGTAAATTGTGGTTTCAGAGGTATACTGTATGGCCCAGCTGGACTTTGAAAGTTTTTGCTGATAAGAGAATTGTGGATAATATTAAATACTCTCCAGCCAAATACTGTTCAAAACAAAGCATATATTTGGTGGGCGTGCTCCCTACACAGCACATACATAAGACTCAGATTCAGTAAAACATTGACATAAATGTGGGAAAGACTTCAAAGACACACCACACTTTTTTTCTGAAAACTTACAAAAGTTTAATTTAAACATCAGCAGAAAGATTATGCAACTCATCACACAGACAAGTCTCGCTGCTTATTGCTTGCAAATCCATTGCACAGGTATTACACTGCTCCATAGTAGTCGTCACAATGCTCAAACCAGTGAAAATTGCATCTGTAAATTCAGCCAATTCTGTTACACTTTATTCCCATCGACATGACACACGCTTGCTTATTTTAAATGATTCCCCTGAAAGATTTTTTATAAAACTCACTGTAAACTGGAATCATCAAACATCAGGATTCCATCCATCCATCTTCACCCGCAAACATCAGGATTTTCACCCACAAAACCATTTTATCCTTTTCAACTACAGCTCAAAACCTTCCAAGACACTTAAGTTACAAGAAATCACGTAGTTTACACTGCATACATTAAATGTATCCACCCAGATAGAAACCCTGTCACCAGTATGAACATAAAAAAGAAAAAGAAATAAGCCAAGCAGAGCAGTGCCTGTCTTGGGGGAGGGAAAAAAAATCTTTGAGACTAAAACCTCAGAGGGTGATGTAAAACATCAAAAGTGCACCAGAAATATTTGTTGAGACAAATGCACTAAAATAGGCATTTCCTTGCTACAGAATTCAATTAACACTGTAAGGCTTTTCTACAGTCTTATGCGTTTGTGCATTCACCATACCTGGTAGAATTCCTTCACTTTCGGCCTTTAACCAGCAGGAATCACCACATGTCTGTGGACATCATATGTCTTTGGCTCGATTAATCTTTGGGCACTACCCAGTGATAAAGTGGTACCTTTCATTTGCATTGTTTGTGCGTTCAGTGTGTAGAGTTGTAAAGGAGCTCAGGAGCTCAAGTCCTGCAAGTTACCTTCTGGCTCCATCTAGTGGAGCTTAGCGACCACTGCCTGAAAGAAGCAGTTAAAACGTGACGCCCAAGTTTTAAAAGAAAACTGGGAGGGGAAAAAAAGGCACTGATGAGGCACTGTGGGCAACCAGACAAGAGCAGCTGGGAAAGGCCACCATTCATTAAACCTGCCATTGCCTGAGAAAGCACTATGCGTGTGTGTGAGATGGCGCAGTGAGCAAAGGTTTCTTCAGTAAACATGCAAAATGTGTCATCTGCAGTCCAGAGATAATCTAGGCACCCAGGTGCGGTGACGAAACGAAGACGAGGCGAGGGGTTTGGAGATGCACAGTTCGGGCCATCAGCAGCAACCCGTCATCTTCCTAGTGGATGTGCAGGATGTCACTCTCTTTCAGACCAAAGCGGGTCTTGTACTTGTCAAAAAGGCACTGGAGGGACTTGATGTACATTGCATGGTAGAGATCCACCGCTTCCTCTGATGCATCCTCAATTTTTGGCACAGTGATTGGCTCCCCAACTATTAAAAAAGAAAAAGAACACAGGAGACAAACAGTTAAAACAAACAGTTGAGCAAATATTGACTGTGTCCTATGAACTGTTTGGTTGGTCACTGTCCTACAAAAACTTTAGTAACACAGCCATGTCGAGGTCAGAGAAAACTAATCTGTACCGTACAGTCAAAGCAAACACGAGACAAACTTGCCTATGGTAGTGATGGGCTTGGAAAAAGGCACAATGCCCCAGGAGCTTCCAAAGAAAAGGCACGGGGCAAAGCCCAACATCTTCTGTAACTTCTTTTGCAGAGACCTCCAGACGGTCCCCTCGTCGAAGATCACCTGCTTGTAGGCGTCGTTCTCGCCGAAGGAATAGACTGGAACCAGATCAGCCCTGAGGGAACAAAGCAAGTGACTCAACACACCTGCCCGACCGTGAAAAAGAACAACACATCTATGCGAAACATCTAGAACACATAAAAGGTCATTGAGACTTATTTGAGAAAAATGTCAGTTAATAAACAAATATTTGTTCACTGTCCTCTTGCTGAAGCTTTGCAGTTGTTGTTCACATGACCAGAAATGTGGTTTTATGGTTATATTATAATCCTATCTGTAAATCTCCTGGTTTTAAAAGCAGTAATAAGAACAGAGTTTGAAGCGTTGCACACGTGTGATAACCACCACGTTCCTTACATGTCTCTACTTGCCTGAACGGCCAGCTTCAGTTTACCAAATATTCAAAAATAGCCAACAGGTTTGGATTTATGGTGCAACGTGCAGATCATCAGGAATCGGTGCAAGGAACACGGACAGTTTGTGAAAAGCATTCAATGTCCCTGTGGGGAGGAGCAGCCACGTTTTTGTATAACAACTGTGGAAGGTGTTATGTGATCGGGAAATTTCTTAAATCCACCCTGATCTGTAACTAAGCTAGAGTCTGAATGTTTGCAGGGGCCGTTTTTAGACCACAGAATCAGTCGTTTTTAGAGAGATTTTTTTCCAGCTGTTTGTGAAAGATTAAATCTGGTTTTCCATCCAGTATTTTAGAAGAAACAATCAGAGCATCAATCCCTTTGACCAAAAATAAACAATAAATATATTTGTTAGAGCGGACACTTGTTTTGTGACGACACAACACATCATTCAGCTGGTTGCAACATCGTCTCTATTTCATAAGCACTGAAACAAAGCCTTAGAAGTTCCACAAAATCAATCCAAAGTGACCCAAATTCACATTTGAGGCTTACATCAGCTGCTGTGCTAGCCTAATTGTAACGAATAAAGGTCTGCATAACTGCGTGTCTTTTCCAGCGCGTTCTAAGCTTCTTTGGATAGGGTGCACCCACTGATATGATAATCCTCGGCTGTATTTGTGAAGGAATGGGCTTGTTTGGGCTGGTGAGACAAACCGAGGGCCCTTCACGCTGCAGTCTGTCTCATTAACGCATAGCCAAGGGGGGGGAGCTCAAACTGCCCAGCCCCTGAAAGTGAACTATATGTCACGAGGAGCTGAGCAGGGACAACACTGCACATTCATAGAATGATTTAGCAGCTCTCTCTTTGCAAGCATGTGGCCTTTCTGGGTATAATAATCTAGGATTTTGTTATTCCCGTGAGGTGCCGCAGCTCAGGGAATGACATTTTCCCATTCAACAACATATTGTGCGGGTCAGTGAAAACCACACGTGCTCGTGTCTGAAAATGCGCAGCCGACTCACCCTTTCCGCAGCGCTAGCCTAACGAAGCCTTTACGATTCTTCAGGGTGACAGAATTCAAGCCGGGTGTGCACTGCAGAGACTCGGCTGCCCCTCCGACAACGATAATCACAGCATTTCCCGTCCCATTCTGTGACAACAGGTAGTCGATGGAGTTCCTGTTCACAGGGCAGATACCTGTGGGGGGGGCAAAATGTAGGTAAACTGCTCATTACAACTCAGATTCACTGAGTTTTAGGTCTCTGTACGAGTTACACACCAGCCTTCTGTATGCTTTCTATACCATATTGTGCATTAGGCAAAATCCACCAATATGCAGAAGAAATGTTAAACATTCAAAAAAGAAAACAAGAACTTATTCCACATGTAAGGGGCAAGGATGAAGCCTGAAGAGCAAACAGGCCCTCCAAACAGATGAAGCTCAGAATCAGTCGATCGATGTCAACTGAAGCCGCAGCAGGACAAAGGTCAGCTCTCCCAGCGCTAGTTATCACTTATTTTGACATTTTAAGAATTCAAACAAGAATTTCTGGCTTCTTCAGTCAAATCTCACCTCCAGACATCAGATAGTCTCGCAGGATGGGAAAACGAAAGTTTCCTGCTAGGGTTGCAAGGGAAGGCTTGATGCCAGGGAATTTCTTAGAGAAGCCTGTGGCCTCAGTCCCAAAGTTGCAGAAACCACCAAAACAAAAGATGCCGTGGGGATGGTAGCCAAAGATGTAGTTCCGGCTGGGCAGCAGGTCGTGAGTTTTAATTAGCTGCAGGACAAAAAGGACAAAGAGTGGATAAACAGTGTCAGACCGATTCTCAGACGAGGACAAAAGTTTGATGAACATGGATTTATTTTTTCTGCTTTTATCATGCATCAAACGGATAAGGTGCAAAAACTGAAACAGACTTTAGACGAAAACTAAAGCCACTGCATGATAAATGTGATTAAAGGTGGAACCCCCTCCCCTCAAAAAAAAAAATAAAAATACTGAAATGAGACCAATGTTCAGCGCCACAATAGCAAGAATGCTAGCCTGAAATGGTGTGTTCAAGAATTTGTGATGTCTAATAGCTTACAAGGGTCAGATTCACCCTGGGCACCTTTATTCTAGACCACTGCGATGTGAACTAAATGGCATTTGGCTCGAGGTGCTCGAAGCTCAAAATGAAAAATTTAAATTGAAGCATTCACCAGCAGCGCATGTTTCCAAAGATCACGGCCTGATTACTCCACAGTTTAGGAACTAGCTTCTCTTTTATCAAACTTTAATCACCAACCATATTTCTGTTCAGCAGAAGCATCCTGTAAAAAGAAGCTTGTGACATCATCTGAACTGTAATTTTTACTAGCTTTTTGTTTGTGAATGAAGGAAAAAAAAAAAACAAAGATAGTTCAATTATACACAAAGCAATTCATGAATGAGAATCCAAGACAGTAAAGCAAAGTCCTGAAATATGAAGAACATAAATGGGTTCCAGTAACAATGTTAACAATATACGATTATAGCTGTATACTTTAGTGATTTTCAATATGGTAAATGGCCTGTATTTGTATAGTGCTTTACTCATCCAGTCATCCACCCATTCACACACTGCTGATGGCAGCTACATTGTAGCCACAGCCACCCTCGGGCGCACTGACAGGCGATAGTAAACATTGTTGTAGGTATATTTTTTAACACTACATGTGAACGTGGATGTGTAGACAGCCATTATTCATTACACACACACACACACACACACACACACACACACACACACACACACACACACACACACACACACAGTAAAACTAGGACACTCTTATCAGCCAGACAGCACATACAATCATAAAATTAGGATCCAGTGTGCACCTGTTCAGGCTGACAGCAGTGATGTGTCAGCATTATTATCAAACCCATCATTGCACAATAAAGCTGTAAAGGTGAACATGGCCCATAAGAAAAGTGTGCTCTGATGTGCAGCGCAGACTTGGATCCATCACAATGTGTAAACAAAGCTCCATTAGTAGCTAGTCCAAAATAACAGTTGTGTAATCACATTAGCACAGGAGAACCCATTCAAGCTCTCCATGGCAGCGCAGGAGACCACCTGGCATATGTGGAGGATTACAGTGGGACTAGGGCAGCAAACACAGCACTTAACCCCTCGTACAGATCCAAGCAGAAGAAAAGAGAAGGAGGAAGAAGAGAGTCACTCGTTTCAAGAAGGAGCAGCAGTAATATAAAAGAGTACCTGATTCTAGTATTGAAGCAGACTTGCACATCTATCCGTGCAACACATTTCATAACAAGTCTCACTTCGGACTTCCTTCGGTCCTCACCTCAACTTCAGTGTTGGCTCGGACTTTGACCGGTTGTTTCCAACTCATAAATCATCAATACTCGCCCTGTGACTAACTCATGTGTTTGTAGATAATTTCAGGATATTTTGAAGTACAAAAAACAGTAAATCCCTCACTTTGACTGTGAGCTCATGTGAACAGCTTCACATGAGCGAATAACTAATACAGTGGCTTCATCTGTGTTAAACAAGAGGTGGTGACATCAATGAGAAAGGCCCAACTACAGTGAAGCATCTAGATGACAAAGAATGAATGCTTGGTTCATCACCCTGGATTTAGCGCTCTTTGTTCGCAAGATCTGACCGACTTCAACATATTTGTTTAATAAATAAATTAAATAAGTAAATATATATTGCTCCTGGATGTTAGAGAGTGGAACGTTGGCCCTGTATTTTTATGACTACTGTGTAATGTGTAAGAAGACAGCTATCGTCCCTTTAAGCATGCTTTAACCGTGACTTTTGACTTCTTGTGTGACAGTATAGTGAGGAACAGCTACTAAACATCTGTACCATCCAACACAAAGCCCTTTAGCCTGACCAAGGATTTTATTGTCCCCTACACTGCGGAGTACCTGATGAGAGAAAAGCTTAGCACTGCTTCTTAGACCTTCAACTGGGGCAAAGTCTGAAGCCAACATCATACCCTCATCTTAATCAACACAGGACAAGTAAGAGTATAGAGCAGATGGCTCAATGCAGCCCCGATAAGCCTATCTGTAATGTTAAACGTGCACAACTAAACACATTTCACACAGGAGCAGCTTCATCTGACATAAGAGAGATGTTGAGGACCCATTTCCTGGAGTCCTGGCACCACCATCGCTCTGCAAAGCTCCAGATTTCCCTATATTACAGATGAGTGCATCAGCAAGGGAGCATCACAAAGAGGACACATCAGCAAGGGAGCATCACAAAGAGGACACATTCACCCACCCTGATTGGAAAGTAGTCTCGGAAATACGTCCACACTGTCCAGTTCCTCACCCAGGAGGACCTCCTGCCACCTGAGGAGAAAGTTACACATGAGTCACTCAGAGCATGCGCACAAAAATAGAACTAACCGTAATTTTTCGTAACAATTCAACCTTAGTTTTTTTATTATACAGTTTATTAATCTGTCATTTAATTAGTTTTGCCCGGAAGTGCAGAGTGACGTCTTCAAATATTACCCAGTCAAAATAATCCGAACAACTGTCCTCTCATTAAGATGCTGAGAAATGAACCGAACATGCCTGAATAATAAGTTTCCGCACTACCCAAAATTCCCTTGAGCTCTACGTTTACATGTGCTGCCATGTTAGGGGTACAGTAAGGCTGTACACGGCAGAGCACTGTGCTGAGCTAAACCAGCATGCTAACACAAGCTAAGCCAATAGTCTAACATGCTAATGTATAGCATTTTAGCATGCTAACATATAGCATGCTAACACAAGCTAAGCCAGTAGTCTAACATGCTAATGTATAGCATTTTAGCATGCTATACTTTAGCTAACATGCCAATCTATAGCATGTTAGCTAAAGTACAAATTTTTAAAATGATGAAAAAGAAAAAGAAACTCTTTAGCCGGATTAAACTGTCATTTCAAAGAATTTGGCACCAACAGGTGGGCAATTCTTTGTCTAAGACTCAAGGTTATTATAGTTAACAAAAACTAAACTAAAAATTAAAACTAGATGTGGAAAAATGTAGTTAACCAAAATGAAAATAAAAACTAAACTTTTGAAAAAAAAAATTAACTAATGAAAACAATTTGTGAACTTGTAAAGCTTATTAAAATAAAATAAAAGGCAGAGGAAATAGCATTAGTCTAAAGCTTTTCTATCACCGGATGCAGAAATCCTCATCAAACGTGCCTAAAATCTCAACATTGTCATTTCACAAATCTCATTTTGGTTACTTCAAATAAATGAAATCATAAAAATAAAATCAAGAATTATAAGCAATTATTTTAGTTAAACCGCCACACTAGTTCACAGTGCCAGAAAGTCTCTCATTAAGACCTATAGTCCGGTGCAGCCAAAACTCAAACCATTAGGTAACAGTTTGTTTTTTTTAAATTGACATCTTTCGTGGCTTGCCTTGTTTTGGGGTGTTCCAGTCAAAAATAAGCCAGGCTATATAAATGGCAGCAATCAGCCAGCAGTCAGTGCAGAAGATGTAGATCAGTAATGCAGTGCAGGCAGCACCTGGGGGGAGACGGGGAAATAGTCACTAAAGTTAAACCTGAATTCATCACAAAGGGTTAAGGTAATCCATCATCAGGGTGTAATCACACGAAAGAAGGCCAACAAGCCATCAACGAGTGTGTGTTCACTTTAAAGACTGATCTGACCTCCTTTACTTGTGACACTAATAAGCCAACTCTCTCACTCACCCAAGGCTAAGAAGGAGATGACCCACTGCATCACAGAGATCACCTGCAGATGCTTCTCCATCTTGGATGTGCAGGGCCATAACCCTGAGGGGAGGTCCTGCAGAGCAGAGAGGATGCTGGAGCCAGTGCCTTGAGACAAAAACAAATCAATGGATCAGGTATAAAAACAGCAGGAAGAGATAAAGATCATGCAAAAAAAAAAAAGAAAAATCTAGTCAACATTTCCCAGAAGAAATTCTTGCCTAGAGTTGATTTGAGTTAAACAAAGCCAAAGGTGGACATCAATCAAAACAAAGAGTTAATGATTTACTCCAGAACGTCCTACATCAATAATACAGTACATTTCCAGCGAGTCCAAAACTACACAGCCTCAGCTACTCACCAGGCTGAAAGAGTGAACCCACGCGGCTACGTGTGAGAAAGAAGCGCAAAGCAACATTAAGAAGCAACTAACGTGAGTCGAGGCCATGTCACAGCGAGCCAATAAGAAGCTCTCGCACTCCAGGAAAACGCTGTCCTCTAATCCCATCTGTCCTCACTGAAAATAACCTGGTACCGGGGCTCGGCTGGTAATGCCTGCAAACTATGATGCTATGAGTCCTTGAGACTATCACAGCTTAAATGTGTGGCAGAGAAGTTGGCTGGAATTCAGCAGTGATGGTTAAACCAGCCTGCTTAGCGCTAGATCAAACTGGTGGGTAAAAGCTGAAACCAAACAAACAGTGTGATCCCCTGGAGAACAGGGGGCACAACAGGGGGGCCTCTAAATGCAAACAGCACAACGTTTTGTAATTAACACAATAACAGGCCCACATATATACATCAGCTTGTGTTTGTATAGTTTCTAGTGTTCATTTAAGCTATGAATCATATTTGATACACAGAAACCAAATGGCATGTTTGGATACAGTGACACAACAGGGAACCCCCCACTACCACTCCTCCACCCCCATTCCCACAATAACCCCACAAATTATAAGCAAGATGCATGCAGAAAGCATGCGATTATGAGAGGTATGGTCACTTACATCCGTGTGTCATTATTCCATCAACTTTGAGCTAACTTGCAGCTGTCACTGTGTGGTTTAGGTTAAAAGCCCGAGTTTAATTCCTCTCAACCAAAGACCATTCAGAGTGGAAGCGTGTTATAAGTATTCACAGAACACAAATCAAACACAGTGATTAGCAAAATACATAATAGCAAAATTCTTAGACAGTATTTTGAGCTTCTCCCACTGTGTCCAGATGAACAGAATCAACTTTTGGAGATTGATTTACCAGGATGATTGAGCATAGCAATATCCTATTAATTTCATTTCTGTTATCATAGTAAGTATTAAACTCCCGTTTTGTTTTGCATGCATTAAAACAAAACTCCAGGCTTGTTTGCGTTCCTATTCGTTTCGCTCCTTCACGCCCTTGGGACACTTTTGAAGACCCCAAATAACCATCTTACCTTTGATGAATCCCGAGTATGCAGCAAGTATGGTTTTCATAGCTCAGTCTTTTTGTTGGCTGATCAAAGTGCCCGAAAAGCCTTTAAAATTATTTTTTAAACAATAATAAAATAAGTTAAAACATCAGGAGCTCCGAGCTTACAGCTCCGCTGTCATGACTGCGTTTAACAGCAGCTGACTGAAGAGTCCAGCGGGCATTTAATCAGCGCGGGGAGGAGCGAGGAGGCAGGAGGTACTGCGGGAGTCTGCGGACACCAAAGCGGAGGCAAGACTGCAGGTAACGTGGAGGAGCAGTGCTGCCGCTGTGCTGCTCTCTCTGTATTTATGAGGCCAGTCACGTGGGTCAGCGACCTGTTCAAAACATGTATTGACCATTCGTGCCACAGCTCTTCAGCATGCCTCATGGGACAGAGGAGCTGTGTGCAAACATGTGTCCAGCTGTTTTATGGCTAGAAGCCAAGTAATAAACGGTCCCTTTCTCCTTATTTAAAAAAAGTGTTTTGTTTTTGTTTTTTGTTGTTTTTTTGAGAAAGGAAGTCTGTTTTTAATCGAATTAAACTTTTATTAAAATTATTTGTTCATAGCTATAAACCTTAAAATCATTATGCTTTTGCGTTAGTTTTACTATATTTAAGATGATTTTTAATTTTTATTTATTTTAATAAAGCTGCTTACTTTATATCAGGGTCGTAGGTATTGACTGATGCCAAAAGCAACTCTTGCAAAAGAAGTTGCACCGGCCTTACATCATTCGAGATGTCTTGCCCTCCACATACAGAGTTCAACTCGCTTGTTTAAACGCAGTCGGGAACTATTCAGAGCTGCGAATCATTTTCCTAAGATCTAAGATTTAACACATATGTAATCTATGTACAGTATTGTGCAAAAGTCTTGCGCTATATTCCTTTATATTTTGCTGGGAAAATGGGAAATATGTGCAACGATTTATTGAAACGTGCAAACATACATTGAAATAAAATAGACAAGAAAACGTTCTAATAATTATATTGAACTTGAAAGTCAGTATTTGTTATGACTGAGTTCTTCAGCACAGCCTATAGTTTCCTGTCGGAGACTCAAAGCTCTTCCTTGGATGCTGCCGTCTCCGTTTCTTTGTCAAGATGATCCCACACTTGTTCAGTAATGAAGTCCAGGCCAATCCATGACTGACTTATCTAAGTTGTTCACCATGTGTAGACACAACACTGGTTCATCCCTTGAGTTAGATTCCTTTTTCTTGCTTGAACGATGCATAGGTCCGTGTTAAGGAGCTTAACAAAGGAAAAAAAAAACAGTGCGTGACTGAAAATGGATGAAAAGGCGGCTGATGTCCGAAAACATCAGCTTATATCTTGCTTTCAGAATCCTTGGAAGCAAGATTTAAAGACTTATACCACTTTTGACTTTTCCACAATATTGTATTTATTCTTTTATTCTCGTGAACTGGAATGTGCTCTGTATCAATGCTGCAACCAAATCACCAACATCAGACCTTTAAAAAAAACTGAACTGAACCTGCTGCACTGAAAAGTGCTCAATATGTCATGACATGACTCCAAACACGGGCAGCTGTGGGTTGCATTGTGTAACAGGTTACAGAGGCAGCCATCTGTCCAAGAAAGCGCTCAGGTAAATCCTCTGCACTTGGCACTGCAGAGATACTCACCAAGCCAGAACCAGCAGGACACATGACTAAAGTAAAGCTGCTGGCAAACAGCTGAAAATGTGAGCCCACCCGTGGAGAAGGTAAACCACCAAAATCACAGTGTAAAAATTTCTACTGTTTACTATGTAATGGCATTTAGATGAAATAGCACAAGATACTTGAAGTTTAAATAGTAATATCGATGGGGGCATATTACCATATAGGATGCTGGATGTGTTGTTTTAGATCTTTAGCTTTGATTGTGCAGCAATTCAGCCTGAAGATTTCAGTGAAGTCATGTCTGAGCTCATGATCCTGCTGAAGTCATGCTTTTTAATGTTTGCTCTTTGGCTTTACCTCTTTTGACTTCAACAAATTAAATATAATTTCCTGTCTGTTCCAGTAAAAAAGAAAAAAAATCTCTTGCACTTTGTATCTAATGTGCTTCATCCAAAAACTGATATCGCATATCTACAGGGACCCAGCCAAGAAATATAACAGCTTCTGGATTAATCAATTATATAGTCCTTGACATCAGGTCAGTGTTGAGAAATAATTCAGGGCAACAGCATCAGCAGCAGCAGCGCTGGAATAATCTGCTTTTAAAGTACAGTCTTTAGTATTGTTTATTCTTTCTTCAGTGGCTGGCTTTTGATTCTGGTGTGAGGAGTTCGAGTGTTCAGCTCCAGTTTTTTCTGCTGTGGTGACAGTTAATTCTGAAATTATGCACCACCTGCAATAATCCATCCTGCTTACCCCGACTGTTGCAGAATTTCTTGTTCTCATATAATAATAATAATCTGTAGAACAGATATCCCGTTATCTACAGATATGACTTCCTCCCCTAATATAATAAGGTCTCATGTAAGCTCTCTGCTCTAAAGCAACTTTTCATTTCTTCAAATGCTGTAATTCATTTGGGACGATAGAGCCAATATTACGTTATATTTTAATGAGTATTTAGATCGTGATGCTTAAAAGCCACAAAGATAAGATGTGCCCTGTAGGATTCTGTACTTTGACCACTGTCTTCAAAAATAAGTCAATAATGTTGTTATCCTGACCTCACTCACACCCCACACCCACCTAACGGCAGCTTGAGACCAAACAAACATTGAAAGCATTGTCTACTGTACTGTATGAGTACAATCTACAACACACTAACAACATACTTAGCAGGCAAGGACTGTTTCCAAAGCACAAAACATGCCCCATTAAATTTTCATCACTTTACACTGATAAGACTAATAACAGGATCATCACGCCTGGTGGATTACTGGCGAATTCTGCTGTTTTGGCTTTTGTGAAACGTGAAACACTTTGTAAGATTTAAAAAAAAAAAAAAATCCCACTGCAGAGATTTGCAACTGATGAATAATTACTTAAACCTCTTGTTTATTTGACGGGAGAGAGGAAATATGAGCTCATTTTGAGTTTATTGGCAGCAACATTTTCCCACAGACATGTTTGCCACTACGCTGCATCACATCTTCATTAAACACTAAACTTAAACTGCTCAGCAGTTCGAGGCCTTCCATGGGATACTGTTCGTTTAATGCTATGCTTTATGTTTTCAATAGTGGGCTGTTTGGAACCTAAAATAGGCCAGTTTAGCAACTACACTGCTTTAATATAGAGCCATGATGTTGTTATAAGTGTAAACGTGGTTTAGCATCATTACTGTCTTGATCCCTCATTTCTTTATTCATTGACGGAGAAATGGAAGACAGCATGTGTTTGGACGTGTTTACTGAAAGGTGCAAACACACGTGGAAATACAGCATATAAGGCAAAAACAGTGTCTTTCTAATTCTTGCGAGCTTGAAAGTCAATATTTGATATGACTGCTTTTATTCTTCAGCACAGCCTGAACTCTCAGTGTTTATTGTCATTCTTTAAGCAGTCTTTGGGAATAGTTCTGCAGGGTTCTTGACAGACATCCCAAAACTTTTCTTCAGCTGTTGGCTGCCTTTTGTTCTGTTCTCTGTCAAGATGATCTTACACTACATCACAGTACAGGTACAGGATGTGGGGAGGCCAGTCGGTGACTATAGTGTTCTGTCCAGACAAGACAGAAATGAAAAACACTGATAGATCTCAGAAAGCCTGGAGAACTATTGCTCAAGAGCACTTTAGAAATTACAACAAGGTTGGATCCTTGCAAGCATAAAATAAAGAAACGAGGCATTACTCAAGACTTTTGCACAGTGCTGACAGCAGAGGTCTTGCTGACAGTATCAATGTCTGATGTGCGTTAATGCCTCCTGATAACAGATACAGGATTTTTAAATGGTACGCTGACATTAGTCTATAGACAAGCTCATAATTTCCAGCGAGAAATCTAAATTCTGATTCATGTTGTACTTTGTAGAGTTGGACACAAGACAAGGCTAAAAGGGACTCGCTATATTACGTGCAGACTGCTTTATTTAAAGATGATCTCTTTCTTATTCTCTACCCACATCTGCTCGTCCTTTAGTCAGCATTTTTGTCAGCTCATCACACACGTACACGCATACAGTATATCTTGCCTGCTCTGTGTTGAAAGGAGCAGGGCATTGTCCAGTCTGTCAGTTATTTCATTTGGAAATATCAGAATTGTGCCATGTGATATAAAAGTCACCTGCCAAAGTTCACAGACACTCTTATCATTTGGGACTCAGATTAAAAAACCAGACACCCTTTAACCTGTGATTTCTAATAATACAATAAATCACACACACACTCATATTTATTCTCACGTCTCACTTGGTAATAAAAATATATCTAAGAGTTTTAAAACGATCATTAAGACTCTTCTCAATAGTACTGACGGCCTGAAAGGCAGAAACTGAAGGAAGACACTTGGATGATTCCTTGCCAACAATTAAAAGCAGCTCCAGGAGATGGTTAGGTTTTGAAAACCACAGCTCAGCCAGCCAAAGGTACCACGTGTACAGCTCCTGTACCTAACAGTATAAGTAAAAACAACCGTGATGAGTGAAATGCTTGGATTCAAAATCATAATCCTAAAAGTAACCAGTAACGGTGCGAGACTTACTTAACACTACTTTTACATCTCTGAAGACAAAAGAAGGAAATTCCCACTGATTTTGTGCTGCCTGTATGGAGTGTACTGTTTAAAATATGAAATCAATCCTGCAGTTTTTGCTTCTGTTCTTTTACAGTGTTGCCAGTGTAATGTTGTAATCTGACTTCAACCTATGACTCTATTTGAGAAAGTTTCAGGCCTTGCACAAATTCCAACACATCATATGCAACAACTGCAATGTTCACATGTAGCCCCAGAGGAAGGGCAACAGTCTAAATCCAAGGTTCCCAGAGCGAGGCCCGTGTGCCAGCTGTGGGCCCACGTTCATGTTTCGCTCCACAGTCATGCACCAGGTGAAAAAAGAACCAAGGGAGCAACTTTTCCTTTCTGACAGTCATTGCAGAATAAATCATTTACAATTACAGGTGAGGTCAAGATGTCTTGGCTGTGTGGCCTCGGTTGGCTTCTTTGATAATCATGACTAAATAAACACAGAAAACTTTCCCTTTTTTCAGACTACATTAGACTTCACCGTGTAAGCATGAGTCAGCCTAACTGTCGTTTCAAAGAGAGATTGTTCTCAGACACTGAAGCTGAAAGAGCTACACATGAAATCTTTAAT